AAAAAGGAGATGGAAAAGACCACGCTCGAGAAAGAGGAACGTGTCAAAACGCGACACCCCGTTCAAAGGAATTGTTTGGTATTTGGTCATTGTTCTAGAAAACCCAAAGTATTTGAACCATGGAGAAAGCAGATTTTAGATGTCAAAAACAAACAGAGATTAGATCATTCTGAAAATTTATTTTGCTACCTGACCTACCTTATTTGATTTATTTTGTACGGTCTTAACTTAACAATCTAACCATCTTCTTTCAAACTTTTTCCTTGAAGACTAATTGTATTTTTATATATCTAATTATTAGTTGTGGTCATTACGGTATTTTGTATAAATTTAACCTTCGAAGTTATTTAGGGGTATCATCCTGACCTCAAAGTCTATAAACTATTTTGACTACAGAATCGTGAGTCTTCTATGTATGTGGATTAAGAGATTAGTAATATTTACTAAATCCAACTGTTAGAAAAAAAAAATCCCAAAATTTTATTATTAGAGGATTATGTTAAAATTTAGGAATTTTCTAACCGTTATGTTAGTAATTTTATTATTTATTTTTTAATAAATGTCACGTCATCTAGTCACGTCGTCAATATTGACTGACATAAAAATTGGTGACCACATACGTAGAGACTATATTATGTTAATCAAATAGACTTGGGACTAAGATGATACCCCTAAATAAATATGAGGGTTAAATTGATTATGAGTCTAGATAAAGCGGTAAGTATTCTAACATTCTTCCTATGGTTTTGTATTATCTTTAGTGTTTCGAAACCAATGTAAGTACCATTAGTTGTGGTTGATGAAGATTATGGGAATTTTAGAAGAATGATGACGAATGGATTAATTAAGGAAGAAAGCAGTAAAAGTAGATTGAGCTTTAACAAGCTTAGTTGTGAGTTAACTAATTGAGCTGAGTGAATTATTTAAGTTCTTGTATGCTGTACGCTGTGAAATTCCAAACCCCTAAAAAAATATTATTATGCATGATCATGTGTGTAGTGCAAATCATAAAAATATGAGGCGTGATACGATTAGGTTCACATATGAAATGAGGTATTTTGCATGATGTTGAATACCATAATGTGATGTACAAAATGATGGGACAATAATATATGTGTCGTAAATTAGGGTATGAAGTATGCATCCGATTACTGGGGGTGGAAAAAAATGATGTGCGCATAGTATACTATGAACGTGAACTACCTTATATGCATTATGACACTAGATTATGCTCTTTTAAGTATGGACAAATACCACGAGGTAATTAACATATGATAAATGTGTTATGAATAGATTGTACGAAAGCTACTAAATTATAATGCTCTTTTAGGTATATATGTACTTGCAAGAAGTTCACTCTAGCAGTTACTAGAGTTTTGGTGACATGTCATTTCAGTAATGTTCATTGACACTATGTGCGCATTGGGTGTTGGCATCATATTATCAACCCTTATGATTAAGTTAATTTAGTTTATTCTCTTTGGGTCAATAAATAAGACATCTTGAACAATTACCGTAATATCTTCAAATTTTTGAATTAGAATTTTTCGAATCTATGGTCAAAAAATCATTTAGGACTAAAACTTACTTTTAAGTACTAGAAATGTTTCATATTGATTATGTTCTTTTGATTAAATGATAGTTCGATTTAGGATTAATTAAAAATTGAAAAGCAAAAATGAAGTTTAAGGATCAAATTGTAAATGAAGTAAAAGATGAAGTGTTGCATGTTTTTCCCCCAAGTGAAAAAAAAAAATCCTTCAAGTGCATATGCTCATCTAGCCTAGTTCTCTAAACCCTAAGTGGAATTTTACTATTTAGAGTCATCCATTCTGAGTTCCAGTTGGGTAAGGAAATCTATAAACCCTAAATTAAAGGTTAGGGTTCATGCAAGTCATTGAACAAGCTTTGATTTTGATTTTGAGGTATGTATTATTTGTTCACGTTTTTTGAAACCTCAACTGAAATGGGAAAGACAGATAATTGAGTAATCCATCAATCTAAGAAATATTGTAAGTTAGAATTAGATGAATGTAGTTGATATCGAGTCTAATTTTATATGTTTTCTTTAATATTTGGTGGCAAAGCTCGAGTTTCGGGTTAGCTTCTAGTATAGACTGAGGCTTTGTGATTCAATAGAGGCTCTTTAGGCTTAGTAGATTAGAGATATGGGCTTGTATTGGGTTGGTCTTGCTCAAAATACAAAGATCGGGTTCTTTTTTACATTTTATGTCATTTGGAGGACTTAGGAGATAATTTACCTTTGAAGAATTGTTGGCTGACCTAGTTTTGTTTGAACGTAGGACTTGTGGGACATATGGTTGAGCATTCTATGGCTTTCAACTTTTATCGAACCGATTAATTGAGAAATTTTCAGTTCAATCGATTAATTCAGTTATAACTGATGTTTAAATACCTGAATGTGCATATCATGTTTGGGACTAGGTTTTGTTGGGTAAGATATAAACGGAGGAAAGAGGAGCACGAAGAGCTTGTGGCTGAGATGGGGAATGCTTCTTGAAAGTGGGTGCTTCACAAGAGGACTTGGTTGGGGTAGTCGAGTAAACCCAGGAATTATGATGGGTTTAAACAAGGACAAAAAATTGAGAAGATGATGATGGTTCAACGCCCTTGGAACCTGAGCTAGTGCATAATTCTTGTATTGACCATATGCTATTTATGGTTTTGTCTAAAATATAATAAATAGTCTGTTTAGTCAATTCCCCATTTCATCTCTACTTTATCCAAACCAAATGTCTATTCCCAAAATGGAATGTCCTTCACTGAATTAAACTATTCCATCTGTTGATGGCAGTTTTTGTATATATTAAAGAGTCTATCAAACATTTTTAATATGAGCAAAATTAAAATATATTTTATAGAACGAAAGTACTAAATATCTTGAACAATTGTTTTAATATTATATTAATAATCTTAGGGAAACAAATTGAATTAAGGCCTTTAATTATAAAAGTAAGAAATGAGATTGAAAAATTAGGTGTCTCGATATAAAAGAGAAATGATATTAAAAAATTAGGAGTTTAATTTTTTTCTAAATAAGAAAGTTTTCTATGGTTATTAATGTACCACATACAAAACCAAAATGCAACCATGAACCTCATTTAAAAAAAAATTCCTCACGCTTAAATTAGGAGTTTCAATTATAAATAAAAATGGGATTAAAAAATAAATGATTCAATTATAAAAGTAAAATTAAACGTATAAAAAAACCGAGGCTCTAAGCAATCACCAAGGGTATTATCCTGGTTAGCATAATAATATATATATATATATATATGATATCATACTTTCTCTCTCAGCCTCAGCGTAGTTACATATTAAAATAAGCCAACTCGCTTTCATCATTCATTGTTATGAGTAGTTTGTTTTATATATAAAGAATCTCATAATTTAGGGTAGTTTAAGTTATAAATGATTTGATATTGTTTAATTAGATTTTGATTTTGAGTTTTAGTTTTTGTATCGAAGAAAATTTCATAGAAATATCCACTTAATAAAGTCAAGTGTACGACTGGATCGGTCGAACTAGTCAAGACCTAAATTTTAAGAACAAGGAGAGCAATAAAAAAGGAATTCCATTATTTTAAAATAAAATCATGAAATAATAATTTAAAAAATTATAATTTTTTTATAAATTATATAATTTTTATTAAAACTTGTATTTAAAAAAATAAAATAATTTCTATTTACGATAAAAGGGTTACATGAATCTTATTGCACACATCATTTCATTACTCTTGACGGCAGTTAATAATAGAATGATATAGTGATGTTCTATAATCAAAAAAAATTAATAATTATTTAATGAATTTTAAAAGTTTTAAGTAATATATTTTGTATAGTTTGGTGTTATTATTTTATTAATTCTTACTTGTTTGTCATTAGGAGATTATAGATTGGGTCAGGTTGAATTTTTATTATGTGAATCTAACCTAAAAATTAAACCTTCTATTTATACTTGATTCGGCTTAGGTTTAAAAGAGTGTCATCTAATTTGAAACTCAATCTAATTTTAGGCCAAAATCACATATGACTCGATCTAATTGATCTATCATTTTACTAGATAAAATAATGATTTAATAAAATAAAATAAAAATAAATATTATTGTAAATATTTAAATGTATAAAAGATAATTATAAATTATATTGAATAATTTTTATTAAAGCTAAAAGTGATTTACAAAGTAATATATGTTCTACGTACTCTAAATAATTTGACAATAAATACACAATCATCTTTGTAATCGTTTGTGCTCGAACTTATACTTTTAAAAATAACAATAATTTTTTTAACCACCGTAATAAATTAATCCATGAAATTTTTGTATTCTAAACTGAACATAACTGAGTCGACGCACCCTTAAAAAACTCGACATGAGTATAAGATTTCAAAATAAAAAAACCAAGTTAAATCTAAATAAAATGACCATATCCTTATTTGCCACTCTCCATTCATGCGCGCGTTTAACTCACTTTCTTTCTCCTCTGATGGTTGTTACTGTTCGACCATTCCCTCCGTTATTTAATTTTTGAAAAAGTTACTGCAATCAATCACCCAATATCTTCAGAATAATAGTGCAAAATCTCGAAACTATCAGATCAACAATAACTATTAATCGACGAAGCTAAGGATATCACAGTGGAACTTAGCCTAGGGACAACCGTATAAGATTATTGATTTTAACAGTTTATTAAAATTACCATGTGTGTTGAAAATATATGGTAAGTATTTTAATTTCAGTTTATAATTAATGTATAAAATACAAGCGATGACGTGTAATAGAGGCCGCATTCTTTTATTCCGAATTCATTTTGGCTATTTAAAAAAAAGAATTCATTTTGGCAAATAAGGAAAGAAAGGACAAAATGGTGAATACAACAACAAATCGAAAAGGTCGAGAAAATTTAAAAGGAAAAGGAAAACCCTTATTATACACAACTGTGAGATCTGCACACTAAATAAAACCCACCATAGAAAGGATAAATAAACACTGCCCTTTTCTATATTTTTCTTTTTCTTTCCTTTTCCCCGCTTCAGTTTCGTTTGATATTTCCCTTCTCTCGTTGTCTCTTTGTCTTCACTTCCACCATTTTGCTAATTTTCTCATCTTTTTCTTTTATTCGGTTCTCTTGGGATTTTAACAGATACCTAATAAGATTATGAGAATTCGAAAGAACAAGAAGCTATCGTCGTCGCTGATATACCCGCAAGGTTCAAGGGTGCCTGAGAGTGTTCACGTTTGCCGGCTCAACCAGTCAACATGGGATGTGATTCCTTTACCTCAAGAACCGTATCTTCATCACCAGGTAACACTTCTTGCTACCTTTATTTTCCTTGTTTGTTTACTATGGCAGATCTGCTTTTTTCCCCTCCTTCGCCATTGTCTCCGCTTGCCCTCATTTATCCCTTCTTTTAGGGTTTTCCCATTTAGGGTTTTAACAAAACCCTAAATTCCCTCATTATCGTATGTTTTTTTCCTTCGAAATACCCGATTTAGGTTAGAGGATCTTCTTCGTTTTCGTGTATTATTTGCTGATTCGGGGGGTTTTATATATTTTCTAGCTTAGTTTTCTGTTTTCTTTTTTGAAATAATTCAGTTCGAATACGAAGATATCTTTAATGGAAATGGGAGCATTGGCGATTCTATCGGTGCTGTTGAGAGGTAATTTACATTATTTGATTCGACCCCCTCTTTAGCAATTTGAACCGTGGTATTGCATTATGGTTTTTAGTTAACGGTCGAATAATTATCCAAGAAATAAATAAATTTTGTTGATGCCTTGAATGGGGTTGTCGAGTTATTGAAAATGAAAACTCAGTTTGTGTTACTTAAAAAGCGTTGCGTCATTACTCGAAACGCAGCGTAGATACAATGGCGGGGAGTAAAGAGGAAGCAATTATGAAAGTGGGAGGCATGGTTATCGATGATAATGACGATAACAGTGAGATTAAAACAGACAAGCAGTTTGGGTTTGAGAACCAATGCGAAGAAGAAGAGGATATGGAACCCAATCAAGAGCCAGGTCTGCTGAAATCCTGCAACTACAACAACAGCAGCGATAGTGGGAATAATATGAAACCAGGCAGGAATACAGAGAATTACAACAATCAACCCACCAGGAGCCGCCGAGAACGAGCTCGAGCATCCAGGAAAGGCCCGTCATCAGCATCGAATCCGTATGAATTTTACTATTATTCTGAGTTTGGGCCGTCGTGGGGTAAAAAGAGACGCGGCGGCGGTAAAGGGAATCAGGGAGGGAAGCGTCATCATTGCCCAAAACAATTCGGCCCGTCTTCTTCTTCACAGATCGATGATAACGAAGAATTCGATTATGTCGATGAGGAGGAGGAGGATGACGAGGATGGAGTGGCAAGAAACGAATGAGAAAGCCCATCAAAGCAAGATCGTTGAAGTCCCTACTGTGAAGAGGGGAAAAACAAAAGGTCGGGGTTCTTTTTTTGTATTTTCTCTTTTGTGTATAACTATTTTGAAATTGTCTTATTTTTATGGCAGTTGTGTGTTTTTTTAGGGTTTTTAAGCTCAACAAATTTAGTTTCATTGGTGGCCGCTTTTGGGTTTTTTGGCCCGTGAGTGGACCAATGGAGGAGGGCGGTTCTTGTAATTTCCGTTTGCTTTTATCTTTTTCAGTTATTCTTTGGGTGATGTGGCGAGAGGAAAATCTTTGTTCAAAATTACGAATATTGGGCTTAATATCCAAACTGCATTTGCGATTTAGGCCCAAACGTGTTTATAGTCCGATTGGGATTTAACCCTTTTAGGCTATTAAACAGTACCTGAGAAAAAGATGGCTCCAGCACAGAACCCAACCAGGCAATGACAATCCCAAAACAAATAGGGTAAACTACACCTTTAGTACTTGTTATTTTTTCCATTATAATACTTAAACTTGATTTTTTTTCAAAACTGTTTAACGTTTAGTTTAAATTTTATTTTGATACTGTCGTTAAAAACTTAATAAAATTAATGATGTGATTTTTTTTATTAATGCATGATATTCTTTTATGGTGTGAGGTCAGTAATTCTGCTAAAAGTTTAAAAATGTTAAACTATATATAAAAATGAAACTTAAACTTAAAATAAAACTTAAACTAAACGTCTTGCATAACGGAACAAAAGTATTAGTTTAATTGCTAAACTTATAGTTTAGACACCCCCCCAAAAAAATAATGAATGCACTGCTGGCCGACTTCCGCCATTACTGCATCTGCATGCAGCATCTAACTCACTCAAATTATTACTCTTCTTAACATATAAATCATCGTCCTCAGAATACCATAAACCCTGCAGTTGATCAACACTTCATCACTGCCAAAGGTCCTACATATAATGCCTGCACTAGATTTGTGGTTTGATATCAAATTCAAGGGAGACTTGCATCAATTTCATGCTCACAACAACCATTAAATTTGGTAGTTTATATCCTTAAAGCTTTTTATGAGACTAAGCTAAGAATTCAGCCAAAATGTTGCAATGCGTCATCACCTGTTTAAAACTCAATCCGCGTTCACTAATCCCGAGTCCTTAACAACAAAAAATCTTTCTTTCGTTCTAGGACTTTCTTTCCGTATAAAAAAATTGAAATTCAACCTCGCTAATTTTGCATTATGGAGATAATTACAGCAGACAAAGCATAAATGTAACATTCAAACGGTAAGATTGTAGGCGGAATTTTTCATTTTTATTGGTTATGCACCAAATTGTGATGTGATATGTACAATTTTCATAGGCTCGTTACCCATAAATAAAGAAAAACAATATCCAGGGTAATAGAAAAGAGCACTCCTCTTTGCCAGCTATTAAAGAATCTACAATCCCGGAACCGAACCTTAGTCGCCGTATAAATCAGCGACACCAGAAGCAGCCAGAGTCGTTGATTGAACTCGTCCTGCAACTCATCAGGCACCAACGGCGTTCTACAAAGCGGACACGTTTTCTGGTCATGGTCCATCCAACGGTCCAAACACGCCCTATGGAAAACGTGCCTACAGTTCCTCAACCACCTGATCTCTTCCCCTCCTTCAAACTCGTACAAGCAAACGGCACAGCTCTCCGGTGGGTCCCCCACGATGATAAGCTCCTCGAACTTTATAACGGGAAGGATTTCCCGGATCAAGAGAGCCGATATGGGGGGATTCTCCGGCGATGTTCGGGTATGGTCATCCGGCCAGACGGGGTCTGTTTCGAGGAAGTCGGAAAGGCCGAGGGAGTTAAAAAGCGTGAAAATCAGGTTTCGGATGAGACCCAGAAAGGAAAGTGTGTGAAGAAAGAGTTTTGGCAAGAAAACTTCGGTGTAACCAACTGGAAACCCCATGAAAGTCGGATTTACAAAAGACTTATATCAACAGCAATGGAAACTAAATTGAATGAAGAAAAAGGCTTTGTTTTTGCATTTATAGATAGAAGAGAGGAAGGAAGCTAGGCTGAAGCTAGCTATGGGTTTTGTATGGAGTTCATACTACTTTAATCATTTATACTACATACTAAGGTGCGAGTGATCCAGTCACTGACTGTGACATTAGTCCACAAATTTTGATTGGCTAGTGATGTTGAAATTAGGAGTTAAGGAACGCTGCCGTTTGGTGGTAGTCTTCCAACACATTATTAAAATGGAAACTGGAACACGGAGAGAAGTGGAAGTGTGGGTCCGCCTAATTCAAAATTCAATTTATATATAATTATGAGTTAATTGCATCATATCCCAAAATTATAATTCTCATTTTAAATTGGTCTTTAATTTTTTTAATATTCTAATTTCATACTCAAACTACTACTGTGATTCTAAATTAATCTGTAAACTTTTGAACATCCTAATTTTATTCATAAACTATGACCTTTTTTCTAAATTAGTCACCAAACTGTCGTAATCGTCTTTCGGGTGGGCCCAAAATTGTGATTCGACTTAAATAAAACACATTAGAGTCGCCACCGATCATTTAAAAATATTTAGGTTGATTGGACACCATCTTATCTGATCTGTGTTTTACCATAAATATGTCGGATTTGGGAGTCGATTACAGACAATGAAGATTTGCACTATTGAACTGCCCTTTCGGTACCATTTTAATTTATCAGTTGTCTTAATTGTGAAAATAAAAATTTAAATTTAAAGACTTGTCGAATTACTTACCTTTGATCTATTGAAATTACCTCTAAAAAAAGAAGTCAAAGAATGCTAGATTGTAAAATATATATATATATATATAGTAAACAAAAAAGGTTAGATAAAAAAATGAAATAATAATAAAAATATTAAAAGATAAAATAAAATAAAAAAATGAAATGAAAAGGAAAATATCAAATTTTTAAAAGAACTAAAATAAATAAATGTTAAATTATAAAAGATATAAAATTAAAATTAAAAATTAAGAAAAAAACAAAGAATATGTTATTTTTTCAAATAAATAAATAAAATGTTAAATGTTAAAATAATAAAATAAAGGAAATAAATAAAACTTAAGGGATCAAATTGGAACAAATTGAAGTTTATGGATTAAATCGATGCAAAAAAAAGAGCCGTAAGAAATATTAAAGAGGTTAGGGGTTAAATTGCATAAATATGAAAATATAATAGGGACAAAATTGACTTGATTTAAAGTTCTAGGGCTAATTTACAATAGGTGACCAAAATGAATTACGCATCAAATTGTAAGGATTGAGTAAATAATTTAAATATATTAATTGCACAATAATCCCCCTATAAATAGCCCTTTAAACCCAAAATAATTATTTCTCTCATTTCTCATCTTTCACATTCTCCCTTCTCTCTCTCACTCTCTCACTAATATGGTCGAAACCCAGCCACCCTCCGATGACTTTCCACCAAAAAAATCAAATTTACCAAAATGTTCCTCCCAACCCCGTGATTCCGAATCCGAGGCCAAAATATGATAAAAAAGCCCCGAAAAACGTAGATCTACGCTCAAAGTTTCGATTTTTTTATCTTTACCGATTGTGACTCTTCGGCTCTCTGATGATCTTCGCTTCTCCGACGACACAAAGCTAATTTTTTTCACTCTCTTTTTAATGATTTTCTTTGCTTGGTGAGTAACTCGAATGAACATTGTTTTGCTCGATTTTTTGGTCTTCTTTATACTTTTTCTTTATTTTGCAGGGTATATATAATCCCTCGACAGAGGCTCTTCCGGGGGTTGTTTCTCCCGTTTTCCGTTGTTTGGGTTTGTGTTGACCGAAAATGACGGGGACTCTGGATTTTACTTTGATTTTTGGTTTGGAATGCTTCGTTTTAGCGCGTAGTGGCGACCTTGTCGGTGTTTGGAGACCACACGCCATTGACGGCAATCGTTAGTTTCTACTTTGGACCCGGTTGGACCTAAAAACCGAAAATAATATTAATAAATAAATAAATACTAATAACATGATATAATAAATAATATATATATAATAGAGTATAATATACCATATAATATACCATATTTATAATATAAATATAACACTAATATATATTTTATAATATATATTATAATATATAATATAATATACTATATATAGATATATAATATATAATATAATATACAAATATATTATACTATCCCAGACGAAAAATGTCTATACAAACTTTTGAATATTAAATTTCATCCCAAATCCATCCAAATATGTAATTAATTTCAACCATAGTTTAACTTAAATTTTATTTTTTTAGACATAATAATATAACTTCGCCTAACGATTTTACTAACAAGGAATGTGATTAGTATATACATATATTTTGGAATGAAATTTGAATGTTCAAAAATTTGTGGAGACCAACTTAGAATGATGATCATAGTTTGTGGATGAAATTGAACTGTTCAAAAGTTTGAGAACAAATATAGAATGATAATTATAATTTAGGGATGAAATTGAAACATTTAAAAGTGTAATGACTAATTAAAATGAACATTATACCTTGAGGACATATAATATAATTAACTCTATATAATTATGTATGTTTTTAAGTTACAAGTATAATATAGAAGTGGTTAAAAACAAAGAATAATGTAGAACTGCAATTATAATAATATATATTTGAACATGTTAATATAAGAAGGAATTATTATATATATCAAAATATAATTTTTATTTAATAAAATTAAAATTAAAGTAAATGGTAAAGATAATTCGAATAATAATTATATATTATTTGTTTAAATCCTAATAAAATTATTTGTTTGAGGGCATCATAATAAAATTATATAAGATTAAAATTGAATTTGAGTAGTCAATGACCTAAAACATCAATTTTTACTATGAGTGTAAATGAGACGAGACAGATCGCGAGCAACTCGAGATTGACTCGATCAAGGTTCGATAATATTCGGATCAAATGGACTCGACTCAAGCTCGAGCTCGACTCGAGTTCTTAACGAGCCGAAACGAGCTACTCGATATTCGACTCGAAAAACTCGTGCAGCTAGAAAATATAATATATTAAGATTTTATTTTTAAAAAAATAAATTTATTAATAATATTAATATTTATG